CCCCTAGTCTCCAATTGACATCGGCCCATCTAACACATGACCCACTACACAACACAGAGACAAGTGAATTTTCTAAGTCCATAACCCAAAAAGGAAATCATTTGGGCGTTTGCGTATGGAGCGGCCAGCTCTCACTGCTAGAATTGCACCGTTCGATGTAACACGGTGAATAGTGGGTAATGGGGCTGGGGCTGTAGATTTCATCACATTTATGTGTATTATATATTACTGTATCAACTATAGTCGAACGATCAAAGCCCTAGGGTCCCCCCTTCAGCAGAATGCAAAACCCTAGCACCAGAAGGTTTCTCTGCCAGATCAAAGGTTGTCGACATCAAATGGAGCCACAGAAGGTTTTTCATCATTAAAAACGCGATGGAGAAGACCGTGCGACTTTAGTGTCCCTGGATATAGCAGGGAGAAGGTACAAGTCGAACATGCGAGGTGCGACCATTATCTCGCGCTAGGGGATGTCTAAACTTTCGCTTCAAGCTTATTATAATGTATAGTAATACATTATACACTAAGCGAAGCTTTTCATCTACATAAAGCACTAGAAGCATGTCGATTGGCCATGACCTCGCTAGGTATCGTCTTGCCACTACAATAGTGATATGGCATCCTCAACAAAGCTTTTATTTGTGTCTATGAAGAGTTTTATAAACAAAGCGAAGGGTATGTTATGCACTCTAGCTATTTCAATTTCGTTCCAAGCTGCTATAGGAGGTGGCTAGTCGGCCAGGCCGGCCATCTCATACAGCGCACGCCAATGATATGTACAGTTGGTCATGTCATCTATCAGGCATCTAGACGTTAATCGGCACTTGAGGATGGCCAGCTCTAGCGTTCGGATGAGTGCTCGTCCAGTAAGCTATAGCCCTACTGGTAGAGTCCTGGAATATGCTACAAATCTGGGGCTCTCAAAATATAATAGAATCAACACTTTTAATGTCCTGGTCGAAGAGATATAGGCGAATTTCATTCTCAGACCCGAGTCTTTCTCTTTGGCGTCTATTGTCTGCATTCGAACGGCCAGTCTAAGGTGATACTAAGGCGTGATCTGGTGCTGAACAGACCACCGCTTATTATCCACCTATATATAATGCATACAATATAACTTATATTTGTGACCAGAGAGAGGGATTATCCTCCTCTCCTTGTGTGAATTCGAAACCGGAACGACTAGAAGGTATCTCGGTCAGGGAAAAAGTCTCAGGCATAGAAAGGATCTGTTTGGGGTCACTCAATAGTGCGATTGTGGTAGAAGAGTCCCAGGACTTTGCCATCTCTGTATGCTGTCACAGTGTGTATCGATTGCTTGCGAGTTTGGAAAGTAATATTAGTCTATGGATTGATAAGGATGCGTGTATATAGAATGGTATTCAGCTACAGTGCGTTTCTATTCTAGTTCATCCATCTGGAGTCAACCGCCCTTAACCACCTAGCAACCCCAGCCTACACTGCATTCTACAAGACACCACACAGAAGGTCAGCGTTTTTTTCTAAGTCCATAACCAAGAAAGGAAATCGGCTAGGGAATTGTGCATGCAGCCATCTCCCATTGCCGAAATTGCGTCGCTCGATGGAACTCGATGGGCAGCAGGCCAAAGGGGTGGGGCTGCATGAAATATGGTATAAATGTATACTGGATATTAATATACATATTAAAGTGACATGAGCGGCACACTAGGATGCCCCGATCGTGAGATTGAAAAATTGGGGGACCAGGAGGTTTCTCTGTCAGTACGGAGGTTCTTGCCATCAAAGGAAGATACCAGAGTTTTTTTCAACATTCTAAACACTATGGAAAAGACCGCACGACTTTAGCCTCTCTGGATATGGCTGGAGTGGGGCACGGATCAAAGATGGGAGGTGCTGGCCATTTTCTCCTATTAAATGACGCTTACAGCTCCGCTCCAAGGTTTATATAAGGTATGTCCAATGCACCAAGACTACACGAATCGGCTTGATTGGATATGACCTAGGCTAGGTGTCGTCTCCCATCATAATACCAGCTGGGTATCTTTGTTAGTGTATGTATTCATGTCTATAGTTAATTTCATAATCAAAGCGGTGATTATCTCATACATCCAGGCCATTTCAATGTCGTTCCAAGCTGCTATGGGAGGGCGGCTGACACCGTGGGCAAGGCCACCTCTCCCCCATTGAAAACCATATTGAAAACCGGATCGCCACGTCCAGTTTTCAATCCGGGTTTCTACTTGTTTTTGGTGCTGAATTGTACCAAAATTCCAATCACTTTTTTGACTTGAATACTGGATACAAAACAACTATTACTAAGTAGCGAAAACAGCACAAAGAATGGAACATATCATGACATAAAACTGGCTGTTTTCTGGACTCAAAATCTTCCACAATCGGATGATAATAAGAGGTCATTTTTCGTCTTGAAAACCGCACGTCGCTATGCTACGGCCTAGTGTTGCATGGATACAAGACGAGTTACGATGGTGATGAGATGCTTTTTGTAGAGAGAAAAGGCTAGGGTATTACAGGTCGAAAAGTGGCCCAAAGCTTTCGGTTTTTGGCTGACAAGAATGGCACTATTCCTGACGGAAAGTTAAAGATACTCAGGTATATTATTCAGTCAGAATGGTCGTATAATAATCTTTAGTTATCATTCAGAAATATATGAACCTTTAAATGGCCAAAAACCGGAAGTGGCGAACCGGTTTTTGTCAAGTTTTCGGTGGGGGAGAGGTGGCCTTGCCCACGGTGTGATCGTCTGGACCGGCCTTCTCATACGGCTCACACAAATGATGTATGGAGTCGGTGACGTCATTGATAGGACTATGAGTAAACATCACTCAAAGATGGCTAGGGCGTTCAGAAGAGTGCTCGCTCACTACCTCTACTGGTAGAATGCTAGAATATGCTAGAAATCTGGGGCTCTCGAAATATAATAGAATCGGGTTTTGTAAAGCCCTGGTTTAGGAGATATAAGCGAATTTTGTTCTCGGACCCGAGTCTTTTCTCTCGAGCATCCTCTGTGTGCGTCTGGATAACTCGTCTGTACTGATCCAGATGTATCATTTGGTGTTGAATATACCATCGCTAGGGTTAGCTAGCTAGGGTTAAGCTAGGGTTAGGGTTAGGCTAGGGTTAGGGTTAGGGTTAGGGTTAGGGTTAGGGTTAGGGTTAGGCTAGGGTTAGGCTAGGGGT